CAGACAACGCTGCAGACCATTTCGTGCAAGAAATCATCATGGCTTTTTGTGTCATGCAAACCCATCCGGAGAGTGTTGCCTGCTTTCACAGAATCAATATCCAGGAAAGCATACGAGATGCAGTGAAGGGGAATAAGAAAGTGTCCAGTCTTAGGGACAGTCACGGGGACTGGAGATGCCTGTGCAGTAACGTCTTAACTTTTCCTAGCACCATGAGCCGGGAAAGACTGGAGGTTTATATCCCGGGAAAGAATGCTTTTGCTTGACCACTAGGGGGCTCCCACAGTCAAACTTTCAGAGTGACTCCATGCCACAAAAAAATATTTGCTAGTCTTTAAGGACTTCTTTTTGATCTTTGCTACAGCAGACAAAGATGGCCACCTCCTTTCTGGTATCGTTTCCCAGTGATGCTATTTGCATGCCCAGAAGAAAACAAAAAATAATTCACAGATGAAGTACCAATTATCATGATATTTAGCCTCTGTGATAAGCAGCCTACACAGAAGTAAAGCTGGTTTCATGAGCTCTCTCCCAAATTATATTTCCTGTTCTGGCACTTTTAACATGGAAACCAGTAGCGTCATGTTGATTACTCCTTAATGAACATGAACATGATTAATGTAGAGCTGCGGTCATCACAAAATTCTTAATTTTATAAAAGAGAAACATTTTGGAAAGAGCGGCACAACTGATTCAGGAACTGGGGCTGTTGCTGATACGAGCCAGTAGGACCCTATTTACCATACTTTAAACTGACGCATCCCGAAACCTGTTGAGACTTCCATTTTTCCTCCAAGGTTCATCCAGCCACAGATAAGGTTTGCATGCAATGCTGCCGACAATCGCTTTTCCTCCTCTCTCCAAATGTTATGTCTGTTTTCAGCCTTGGAAGTTTCAGATTCTCAGACTTCCTCAAAAGTGGGAGGCAATTAGTCACATCTGCATGATGACCAGAAAAGCTGCCTGTCTGGCCCTTTTGCACAGACACCCTAAGATGCCCTTAGCATCTTCCAGCAAGCAGCTGGCCCTGTTTGAACGCCAAAGGTGTCAGCCTTGGGCAATGTGGTTGTGAGGCTTCAAATCCTATGCTGGATTTCTGGAACTCTTGAAAGCTTCAAAGCCAGAGCATTTGCTACGAATTGCTGGCATTTCTGATGCCGCCCATTTGTTTTGGTGTGGAAGAAGAGAGAGACAGGCAAAGACCAAACGTTGCATGCACCTTGCTAACCCTCGGAGGAAAGGAAATGCTCCGACACACCAAACCTCTTACAACTGCTGCCTCTGGAGGGACTGACAGAAGGAATGGCAGGGATGTATCTGCATACTAAAGACAGTTTAGGAGCAGAAAATAATGTAAGGATGGTTTAAATGTGGTGAGTAAGTGGGGATGGGAAGGGGAGATGAAAGAAGATGTGTTTACTGCTTCTTTGTGATGCATGGCTAAAGCCTTGGTGATCCAGGTTCTAGTCTTCACTCAGCCACAAAGCTCACTGGGTGACTTGGGACAGTCTCTGGCTCTTGACCTAACCTACCTCACAGGGTTGTTGTGAAGATAAAATGGAGAAGAGAGAGAGAATTATGTAAGATGTCTTCTAGGAAAGATACAGGGCATTTATATAATAAATGAAGGAATGACTTGGTCTTTTGCAGACTTCCTTGTTTCCTTTATCCCTTCCCTTTGCTCCTTCCTTTTGTGGCATGTTTTTCTTTGAAATTGTTCCCTGCTTGGAGAGCAGTTTGTTTTTTTGTAGAAGTTCTGGGTCTGAATCACATTCTGATGTTATTTGCCATATATTCCACCCCCACAAGGGGAAAAACAGCTGGGAGGGTGATTTTGAGCTGAAAAAACAGCAGGAAGGCAAAGCACGCCTTGCTGTTCTTCTGCTTAATTTTGTGGTCTATGATTGCTGTTTTTAGGTTTTTAAAAAATAAGTGGGTGTATGTGTTTGGGTTTTACACACAGTCACATGTGATAGTTTATTTGGACTTTACAAAGATGCACTTTAAAGTTTGCTTCATGGATGCACGATTCTGTTGTTTAACTATAATTACCATTTCACAGATGGAAAAACTGAGGCAGAGGGTGATTTCTCAGTGACCTAGCCAGTGAATCAGCTGTTGAGTTGGAATCCAAATGTAAGCAAGCCTCCCAGAGATTCAAGCTCAACGTGTTCCCAGTTTGCTGCAGTGAAATAGCAAACAGAGTAACACCTCACTTATTTCAGTACATTCACAAGCGCAGAATCATAGAAGAGTTGCAGGGGGCCATGAAAGCCATTGGGTCCAATGCCCTGCTGTTGCAGGTCACCAGTTTACACCCTCCCACTCAGATGATGGCCCAGTTTCTTTCTGAATGTCTCCAGTGTGGGAGAGCTGGTTCCACTGTCGTATTGCTCTGACAGTGAGGAAGTTTTCCTGGACATCTAGCCTGAATCTGGGTTTCACAACTTGGATTGTTCTGTGTCTTGCACTCTGGTATCAGTGCAAATAAATCTTGTCCTTCCTCTTTGTGACAGCCTTTCAGGTTGTCTTATACAGTGCCTTATAACACTTATAGAGGGATACCATGTCCCCCTCAGCCTTCTCTTCTCAAGGCTGAACATGCCCAGTTCTCTCAGTCTCTCCTCATAGGGCAGTGCTTCCAAACAGGTTTTCCCCCCCATTTCTGTTGCCCTCCCCTGCACCCTTTCTAGTTTTTCTGCATGTATCTTAAATCTTGGTGCCCTAAACTGGTCACAGTATGCCAAATGAGGTCTGCCTAGTGCAGTGTATCGGGGAACTATTACTTCTCATGATTTGGAAGCAAGTATTCTATTAATGCATCTCAAAATGGCATTTGCCCTTTTTGCAGCTGCACCACCTTGTTGGCTCCTGTTTAGCCTTTTGTTCACAATTACTCCAATATCTTTTTCTTGGTCAGTTCTTCTGAGCCATATATTCCCCACCTTGTATGGATGCATCTGTTTCTTTTTTTCCTAGGTGGACTTGGCATTTGTCTCTAATGAATCTCCTTCTATTGCTTTCAGCCCAGCATTCAAGTTTATCAAGATCACCCTGGATCTTCATTATGATCATAATGAGCATGCTTATGGAAACGCACAAAGAAACACAGAACAGAGCGAGTCAGAAGGGTTCTCCCAGGCCATCTAGTCTGACCCCTGGCTCCAGTCAGCTCCAACGAAGTTTGGGCACAGAGATGGTGACAAGGGGAGGCACGGCCCACTGACAAGAGCAATGGACTGTGCCCCACTGTTAAACTTGCGTACTTTCTGCCCCAGGCACCATCTGTGTCAGTGTGAGTGATCATGAGAAATGTTGAGAGCCAGTGTGGTGTAGTGGTTAAGAGCTGGGACTGGGACTCAGGCGATCCGGGTTCTTGTCCCCGCTCAGCCATGGAGCCAACTGGGTGACTTTGGGCCAGTCACAGACTCTCAGCCCAACCTACCTCACAGGGTTGTTGTTCTGGGGATAAGATTGAGAGCAGGAGGAAGGGAATGATGTAAATGACTCTGAGTTCTTTAAAAGAAAAATAAGGAGGGACATAAATCCCCAAATAAATAAATCCGCGAATCTTGTCAGGAATCCACTGCACAAGACTGTCTGGGGCACAAGTATAGAATACAGCTTCCAGACATGAGGTACTGCCCCCCCCCCACATCTGGCACTAATTGGGTCCCATCCTGTGTACTGTGCCCAGTTCAGGGCACCACACTTCAGGAAAGATGTGAAGTAAAAAAGGTTCAGAGGAGGGCAACAAAGATAATCAGGGAACGGAAAGAAAGCTCTGCCAGGACAGATGGAAAGAATTGGGCATTTTAGCTTTGAGGTGGCTGAGAGGAGATAGGACAGCTCTCTTCAAATACTTGAAAGACTGCCACCCTGAGGAGGTCCGGGATCTTAATAATGAGCTTAAATTGCATGAAGTCCGATTCTGGCTCAACACCAGGAGAAACCTCCTGACTGTTAGATCAGTTCAGCAAGGGAAGCCATGACCTAGGAGGGTTGTGGACTCTCCAGCACTGGAGGCAAGCGAGATGCAGCTGGGCAGCCATCAGAGCGGCCTGAGTCCTGCACTGGGGGGGGGGGGGGGGGGTCAAAGGCCTCATAGGCCCCTTCCAACTCGACTGCTCTGCGATTCTACCACAAATACAAGGAGGAAAAGCTACCAAAATTATCAATAGAGCCTCTAAGTTCAGAAGCACTGTATCCTGCAATACCAGCAGTGGCAGGACTATGGTGATGGGGGAGAACCAACTCCAGGGAAATCATGCCACTGAGCCCTGCTGGGATGCGGCCCTTGGCAACGGCCTGGCCAGTTTCCCCCTTGGCATGGTCCTGATGCAGCAGCGGCGAGAAGCGAGTTTTCTCCGGCCAGTTCAAAGCAGCGCGAGAGGAAGCAAGTGGGAGCAGCACGCAGCCGGGGGGCCCGGCGATGGCCGCCCCAAGTGCCGCCTGGGTGCTTCGTGGGCAGCATGTCACCGGCATTTGCCCAGAGCCGCTTGGCAAGAGCGGCAGGGGGACCGCGCACCCATGCCCCCTGCGGCCCACGTCATCCGAGTCTGGGCGGCACGGCGACCCGGTCTGGGGCAAAGAAACCCCACGGCAGGCCAGGACTCGCCAAGGCGGCTCGCAAGGCTGGAAGGCTCCCGGTTCGGACGTGCGCGTCGTCCAGCAAGGGGATCCGCCCAGGGAGTCTCGCTCCCGTGCCTCTTTGGCGCGCAGGGGCAACCTCGGACGAAGGCGGGCCGGTCCACCCCGCCGCCCCTCTCCCGGCAGCACGAACGAGCCGGCGCCGCCCGGGCAGGGCTCGCGCCGTCCGCGGAGCCCCGGGC